CTACAGGTTGCCTTTCCGATTTGAATGCGGATATAGAGCAAAGGCGCGTCGATTTCGGCGTACCTTTGGGTGGCGTACTCGCGGTCAATCTTCGCAAGATAGGAGCGGAGATCGATAACCGCTACCCCGTCGTCCGTCAACGGAGCTGGTACTGTAGTGTGCAAATAGGAACGTAGATTTGCCATCAAGGCATTGCAATGCGGCCTTGGCAAGGTTCCGGTCGAGGGTAGAGGCATCCAAGCGAAGTCCTCTCTCGTGAGCGGGTCAAGCTCCTCAAGTCTTGACCACGCCGTCAAGTCCTCGGAAATCAGTGGCGAACTGACCGGATCACTTGCCGACGGTGTACAGGCTGCGCATACGCAATCTAAGTGCACGTGGCTCAGCTGGTCTAGTGGTGGTACCAGCTGGGCGGCATAATCTTCGTACGTAGCACGAGAATCAGCGACTAACGCATGCTCCCCGGTAGTGACATCAATTGCAACCGGATCCGGCGGAGTGAGGAGAGACGTCGCCCCTCTCCTTGCGTAACTCAGTTTCCCGAGTTAGTTGGACAGGGGTACGCAAGCCTTGCCCTTTTCGGGGCACTGTGCGGTCAAGTGAGTGACTCTATTGCACCAAAGGCAATATCCGTACCGTTGACGAAGGTCGTAAATTTCCTTGGTTATCTTGTATGCCGTCCATGGCTGCTGCCCAGTTCCCGTCGCTGCCGTCTCTTGTGTCGCCTTGTTCTTCCGAACTCTCTTGGGACGCTTCGGCGGGAGTGCTGCTACAATTCCTCCATCACTCGAGGATGCTGCTGCAGCGTGGAGATCGACTGTTTCTTCAGAAATCACGGCATTGTTATGTGTCGGTCGTTCATAGCCATGCTTAGCCACATAATGCGGCTGGGACTGTCGTTCGTTTGAGGCCTTGTCATCCGTTTGGATGACCAAGTTCGCACGATCCAGGATGGCCTGGAATGAGGCGTAATCGTACTCGTTGTCGAGTGCGGTTCGCAGTCCTGCGCACGATCGCGAGAAGAACTCGGATCGTTGGTTGGTAAAACTCAAATCGAAGCCTGGCGTGGTCACTATCTTCTGCCACTTGGTTGTCCAGTCTCGAGTTGGCATATCCCCTTGAGAGCAGGTGTACACCTCGTTCATGGCCGCCTTCACGACGTTGCGGACCATGAACCGAGTGAACCATAGCTTCTCGAACTCTTTCCATGTGATGTGCGTGTGGAGTTCAGCGATGGTGCATTTGTTGGTAGCCGCCAGATGGTTCATCCATGCCTGCGCTCCTCCAATCAGTTGTAAGTAGAGTGCCTTCATCATGTCGTCAGCCGTGACAGTGCGGCATGATGCTTCCGTGAGAAGCTTTGCCACCATGTAAAGGCGTCCGACTTGTTGTAGCCGTCAAACTTGCTGATGTCGAAGTGCGGCATCTTGTAATTCTTCGTAGCGGCGTCCGGTCTTGTCTACAGTTTGGTGATGCTCGTCTTGATGGCGGACACCGTGCTGCTCATCGTGGCCGGACTAGTGAAATCACCTAGTTCGCCAATGATGGTGACAACGTGATCGATGCGCTCATTGAGCTGCTTCGTCACGTTTGTCGTGCAGCCTGGCGCTGCTGAGGCCTTAGCCTCAATGCCGTTGATGCGTGCGAGAGTAGAGTTCAACAGCTGTTGCTGTTGCTGCTGCTGCGTTGCTGCGTCGCGGACGGCAGCAGTTAAAGCGGCCACCTCTTGCTGGTGCTGCTGTCTTTGCTATCGTTCCGCGTGCAGGTGTGCCTGCAGCAGTTTGTTGTTCCACATTACTCCCCTCATCACGTTCAACATCACGGTAGCCAGGTTACTTCTCTCTGCCTCCGCCTGTGTCGGCTCCGCCTGCGCGTCCGTAGGCACAAAGAACATGCCTTGGAGTAGTGTTGTCCACCGAGTCTCATTTTGAATCAGGGACTCCGTGCTCGCGGCATTCCGTCTGTCTCGTGCCACTGCGTCAGCCTCAGCAGTCTGCTGAGCTTGGGCTGCCGCCTCATTGGCCAGCCGCTGCCGTTCTGCCTCTGCAGCCTCCTGCTGAGCCTTGGCGGCAGCTACGGTATCTGTGAATACCCGTAGCCGCCCAAGGTAGTCAGCCAGCGGTTCAAGGGCCCCTTGGACCGGACATGCGGGAAGAACTCCAGTGGGAACCGGTACTGTCAATGCTGTACTCCATGCTGCTGGAGTCGTCCGCCTGCTGATTCGCTGTTGCTGATACTTGGTGCGTGGAGGTACTGCAGAACGGGCACGAACTGCAAGCCTGGCACTGCGTCGTGGCAGTGCCCCGGTGTCCTGTTCCATCGACATCAGTTCTAGCTGATGTGGTACTTGAGAAATCCCGGTGGTCACAGATTACGGGGAAGGTAGGGAGAGTGGGAACAGGGGTAGAACAATGAAGCACTTCTCATACAGTCCCTGTCCCACTGATGGAAGACACCTAATCAACAGAAAAAATAATTTTTCCGTAAACAACGCAAAAATTCGTAATAAGAAAATAATAACGAATTATTTAATCAATAAAGTTTAATAACGAAATAATAATTCTTAATGATAATCAATAAAACAATATTTGAAATAATGATTTCTGAATGATAATCAATAAAACAATGTTTGCAATAATGATAATGAACGAATTTGCATTGTATCAAGCTTAGGTATCTGTTGAGATCATCTTTGAGTCCGGGAGTTCACCGTTAACGAGTGAACTACCCGGAAGTTGCAATTTTGAGAGTCAGATTCGGATTAGCTTGCCAAAAAAATATCGGAAAAAAATTCTGGAGAAAAAACACTCGAATTTTCAAAAACGTGAAATTTTGGGAATTTCCACCGCAAAATCCGATTTTTAAAGGCCTAAATCCGTTTTCGGAATTTCTCAAACAAGGGGGGGGGGGGGG